TCCAACCTCGGGTGCCGTGAGGGGCCCGTGTGGAGGCTCTCAGCATGTAACACTAGCCTAGATCTCGCTCATAGTCCTCTTCTGACATGTCTCACTCATAACAGATCGACAGATATACAAAAAAAAAAAAAAAGGAAGTAGTCCTCTTTTTTTTATTTTATTTTATCTGTTGATTAGGGCCGGGAGGAAAGTATTGTTGGGTTGGTTACCTACCGGCGTTTTCCCTCCCACCCACCCCTTTGCATGCATTCCCGGGTTGGAGCAGTCCCACGTCAGTAAAGTGCCACGTCAGCAATAGTGCCACGTCAGCAGTGCCATGTCAGCAGTGCCATTTCAGCAGTGCCACGTCAGCAACAGTGCCACGTCAGCAGTGCCACATCAACAGTGCCACGTAAGCAACAGTGCCACGTAAGCAACAGTGCCACATCAGCAGTGCCACGTCAAGTGTAACAGTGCCACGTCAGCAGTGCCCCGCCACCATGACGGGCGCAGTTCTGTGCATGCCAGGCCAACTGGCAAATGAGTCCATTGCCGAGTACCGACAGCGGTTCGAAACTCAGCTCGCACTAATCGCGGCTGAGGAACAGCGCCATCTGGCAGCCGAGGCTGTCCGCGTACAGGCTGAAGCGGCGGCAACAGCTGAGAAGCAGCGGCTTCAGGCCGAAGCAGACACAGATACCCAGGCACGCCGCAAGGAAGCCCAACATCTGCTACAGCGGCATGAAGCCACTAGCATCGAAAAGCTCAAGTTTTGGCACTTTGAACCATCCGAGGGGCACAACGACGCAACACCGGAGGAGCAGCACAAGGAATTCATGGCCAAGCTCGTGACCCGGTTGGTCTACACTTGTAACCACCTGCAGTCCGAGTTGGCGAACCTCCAGCAGGCCGTACGGCACCACAACGATCAGCACGAGGATGCAGCACGGGCACTTGATTCCCGTGTACAGGACTTGGAGCAAACTGCACCAAGACCGGAGGCTGGCGAGTCCAGCAGTGCACCCTCTGCCCGCCAACTGGAGGAACGCGTCGATCACATAGTGGCAATGCTAGGTGATATTAGCACCTTCGCAGCGCCAGCCACCATCAGCCAGCAGCTGGACACACTGAAGACCGAGATCAGGCAGCGACAACAGCCGTCTGACCCCGATCGCAGCACCAGCACGGCGAAGCATTACAAGATGCCGACGTTCCGGATCGAGAAGTTTGATGATTACACACATCAAGACCCGGTCGTCTGGTGGCAAGGATTCACAACGGAGTTGGGGATTCATGAGGTCCCTGAACATCTGTTCATCGGCACGCTGTTCCTTAATGCCAAGGGAGGACCCAGATCTGGCTCAGCCATATGGCAACCGTCCACAGCGTCCAGGTCTTCGACCTACACAAGAAGGTCTCCTGGGAGGATCTGACAAAGGAATGGAAGAAGCGGTTCATCGTGGACGACGCCTCGGCGCTCGCCATCAACCGCATCTTCACGATGGCTCAAGGAAACACATCGACACGTGATTGGCTCACGGATTGGCAGAAGATCGTGGCGACGCCCGATCTGGACTTGCCATTTCCGCATCTGCGCCAGGAGTTCTACAACTGGTCATGCAACGCTTTGAGCCTCGCACTTGGTGATCGCGAGCAGTACAATACCTTCGCCGAAATCATCAACAAGGCGAGGGAGATCATCAAGACAAATAGGGAAGTTGCACACGAGAAGTCAACGTGGCAGCCAACCTATGTGGAGAAGGTGATAACTGGTCAGCGGCCGCAGCATGTTGCTGCAGTCCAAACGGACAACATGTGGAAGTCCCGACAGCCACCCAAGCATCACGTGAGGGAGATCAGGTGGCTGCTGTCCAGCCGCGAAGCAACAACAAGTCCCGAGGAAACAGGAAGGCGAAAATCGCATCGCCGGCGGGAAACGAACAGCCAGCACCATGGGTCAAGTTTCACTTGACCGAGGCGGAATACAAGTGGCGCGGCCGCTACGGCTGCTGCTATTGGTGCAACAGCACCAAGCACAAGACCTCCCAATGCCCGGATCAAGGCAAGGAGGATGTTCGGCCTCGTATCAACTCGGGAAACTGAGTTCCGCGGGAGGTGAGGCGACTCCACCTCTCACTCCGCCAGATTCGGCCGCCTTGCTAGCGGCCTCCTACACATCTGGGGAGGATGCGAATGTCGCAAGTCCTCGGTACACTTACGAGGACTATGCTGTCCACTTGGTCCCACCGTTGGACCAACCGCTCCACGTGCAACAATCTACCGCATGCACGGCTTCATCACCATCGGCAACCGATTCGGCAGCTTTGCCGCCATCTACCGTCGGGGATTCAACGTCATGGTCAAGACTTGAAGAGCTCGACCCGTTGGCATTTGCGGACTTCCAATGGATGCCCCTTCCCCGGTCCGGTCGATTGCCGAAACCGCATTGCAACGTGCTCATGGCACAATTGCGGGATTACTTGCACATTGCAGTACCAACTCCGTTGATGGACGCCCGAGTAGAGGTTGTCGACCTTCACGCCTACATTGCGAAGATCGACCGCGAGTTCAAGACACAACGGCACGACGACATCGACGCACCATTGTTATATGTACGCATTCAGATCGGAGAGGCGGCCTGCAACACTTTGATCGATTGCGGAGCATCTCGCAACTACATGAGCCAGGACTTTATGGTACGCGCCGGCCTTGGCCCACGCGTCTGGAGGAAGTCCCAACCGACGCAAGTCACGTTGGCGGACGGTCACACGCATAAGTCAATAGACCGATGCATAGATGACGTCCCCGTGTACTTTGCCCCGCATGCAAGCGAGGAGGTGTCCTTCAATATCTTCGACACCAAATTCGACATGATCTTGGGCATGTCATGGCTGCGAAGCGAGGATCACCCGGTGAACTTCTACCGCCGCACCGTTCACATTCGTGATCGGAACGGAGTACTAGTCCCATGCACGGTAGCTCCTCCTCACCCTTCGATCAGCTGCCACGTGGTGTCCGCCTCAAGCATGCGAGCTTCCATCATCAAAGACGACATCGAGGAGATGCGGGTGTGTTTTCTCCACGCCCTCCCGCCCCATGACGCTTCATCGACGGACTCATCTTCGAACCCACGCATCACCGAGCTTCTCGACGCCTACAACGACGTGTTCGAAGGCCCGCACGGAGTAGTACCGGATCGGCCCATCCGCCACGAGATCATCCTTGAGGACGGGGCTGTACCTCCGCGCGGTAGCATCTACCGAATGAGCGAGGAAGAGTTAAGTGTGCTACGGGCACAACTCGACGACCTTCTGGAGAAAGGCTGAATTCGGCCTAGCTCATCGCCATGCGGTGCTCCTGTTCTCTTCGTCCGGAAAAAGAACAAGGATTTGCGGTTGTGCATCGATTATCGCAAGCTCAACGCGCAAACGATCAGAAACGCCGACCCTCTTCCACGCATCGACGACCTTCTCGAACGGCTGGGTAGCGCCAAGTTCTTCTCCAAGCTTGACCTCAAGTCGGGATATCACCAACTCGAGATTCGGCAGGAGGACCGCTACAAGACCGCGTTTAAGATGCGATATGGGCATTTCGAATGGCTGGTTATGCCATTTGGCCTTACGAATGCCCCGACCACTTTCCAAGCGGCTATGACAACGGAGTTCCGACACATGCTGGATCGATTCGTACTTATCTACCTCGACGACATTTGGGTGTATAGTCGGAGTTTGGACGAGCATGTGGAGCACCTGCGCACCGTTTTGGAGCGGCTACGACAAGCCAAGTACAAAGCCCACCGCGACAAATGCGAATTCGCGCGGCAGGAGTTGGAGAACTTGGGACATTATGTGACGCCGCAAGGCATCTGTCCGCTTGCGGAAAAAATCGAGGCCCTCCGCGTATGGCCCGAGCCCACCAACACCACGGACGTTCGTTCATTCATGGGGTTGGCGGGCTATTATCAGCAATTCATCACCGGGTACTCAAGGATTGCTGCACCTATGACGAGATTACAATCGCCAAAGGTGCCATTCGTATTCGATGACGACGCACGCCGGTCATTCCAAGCACTTAAGACGGCCATGCTCATGGCACCCGTCCTTAGCATCTATGACCCCACCCTGCCTACGAGAGTGACAACTGACGCTTTCGGCTATGGCATTGGGGCAGTCTTGGAACAACACGACGGCGACGACTGACACCTTGTGGAGTATTTCAGCCACAAATTGCCTCCCATCAATTCACTTGATGATGCAAGGAAGAAGGAGCTGCTCGCGTTTGTGATGGTTCTCAAGCGATGGCGGCACTTCCTCCTTGGGCGTCGTAGGTTCACATGGGTCACGGACAACAACCCATTGACCTACTACAAGACGCAGGATACGGTGAGCAGCACGATCGGACGATGGATGTACTTCATCGACCAATTTGACTTCAATCGCGCAGCAGATGCACTCTCGCGAAGACCCGATTTTTGCACTATGACACATCATGCCTTCGCATTCGACGAGGAACTCCAGCGACACTTCATTCGGTGCTATGAGTCTGATCCGGACTTCGCCACGTTGTATGCGCAGCTATCTTCGGATCAGCGGCCGGCCAGCCACTATCGCATTGCCGACGGGTACTTGCTCCTCCACTCGAGAGGCAAGGACTTATTGTGTGTCCCACGAGACCATCGTCTTCGGACTCGCCTTCTCGGGGAGTACCATGACTCGCGACTCGCGACTCGCGACTCGCCGGCCATTTCGGAGTCAACCGCACTATTGCACGGCTTCGACAACAATTCCGATGGCCCGACCTCATTACCGATGTCACTCGGTATTGCGACTCTTGCGAAGTTTGCCGACGAAGCAAGCCCCGCAAACGCAACCCCTACGGCGAGTTGCGCCCGATGCCTATCCCACGGGAACCCGGCCTCTCCATTGCCATGGATGTCACTGGACCATTTCCCCGCGATCGCCTCGGGCACGACGCATCCTCACGGTTGTGGACCGTTTGAGTAAGTATGCGTGTTTTCTCCCTTGCAAGTACTACTCCACGGCTCCCAAGTTGGCACGCCTCTTGCACACCGGCTGGATTTGCGGCCACGGTGTACCGAAAGACATAGTCAGCGACCGCGACACTCGCTTCATGTCGGCATTTTGGACTGCTCTCATGCAGGAGTCCGGCACGAAGATGAAACCAAGTTCGGCTCGGCATCCACAGACGGACAGGCAAACGGAGCGGGCACATCAAACCGCTCAAATGATGCTTCGTAAGCTCATCCGTCCAGACCAGAAAGATTGGGTTGACCGCCTCCCCGACATCAGGTTCGCCTACAACACTTCGGTGCACCTGGCGATCAGCGTGACTCCATTCGAGTTGCACCACGGTGGACGGAAAGGCCGTATCTTCGCCGACCTTCTCCTCCCACGACCAGCCGACATCGACGTCGCTTGCTCTCCCGCTTCCGTCCGGAAGTACGGGGAATTGCTGGCTCAAGCCCGCGCGAACATGCAAAAGGCTCAAGTCCGCATGCAGCAGCAAGCCAACAGGTTTCGCGTGCCATGTCCCATCCGCGCCGGTGATCTGGTTTGGGTCTCCGCGGAAGAGTTTGCACTGGAACAGGATGTCTCACGCAAACTGCTTCCCAAGTGGTTTGGACCATGGCCCGTAACATCAGCCGCGGGCGATGAGCCCGATGACCCTTCATTTGTGATCAACATCCCTGCGCATCTGACGGTCCATCCAGTCTTTCACGCCTCGAAGCTGGCAACATATACACCAGCTAAGAGCGACGACTTCCCGGGCCGACGATCGCAGGACCCTCCATCTATGGATGGTCATCAAGAAGTTGACCGTGTCATCACGGATCGCAAGTACGGCAGCAAGCCTGACCAGTACAAAGTTACATTCAGAGCATGCGCTCCCGACGACACTCGGTGGATTTCAGGAACAGATTTGAAAGCATCTGCACCACTGATCTACGCTCACTACGAGCGACAAAGGTTAGCTCAGGGAACTTCACGACCTGCCCCTCCCACCCGGACTATGGTCCCTCCCTCAGACAGACAGCTCCGCCCTCGCAGGTAAGCTCGGTCTTTCAAGGAGGGGGGGGTGTGGCATACTGCGTAGCCACACGGGCCTGCAGGGCCCGTCCCGCATTCTCGGCCTAAAAGCCTAGAAATAAGGGCTTACAGGCCCCTGTGGTTTCAGCCTGAAAACTGAAAACGAGGGCCTGCAGGCCCTATTTCGTTTTCAGCCTAAAACAGGGCTTTTCAGCCCTGAGGCTTTTTAGCCTGAAACGGACGGCCACTTTCGGGCCCTCATAAGATCGACCTACCCTAAGACTCAGGCACAGAACCAGGGATTCGGGAACAGGCTATTTCTGGCTTGTTCCCACGACAGCCTCAAGCAGGAGCTGCAGCGGCAGCCCCTGACTCCCTTCGGCATTGGCAAGAGCAGCCTCCTGGACTGCCTCGCCCTGCAGTCAGGAGGCAGGCCGAGAAGTACATAGGGCTGTCTCTTATACACATCTAGATGTGTATAAGAGACAGCCCTAACACTCAGGCACAAAACCAGGGTTTCGGGAACAGGCTATTTCTGGCTTGTTCCCACGACAGCCTCAAGCAGGAGCTGCAGCGGCAGCCCCTGACTCCCTTCGGCATTGGCAAGAGCAGCCTCCTGGACTGCCTCGCCCTGCAGTCAGGAGGCAGGCCGAGAAGTACATAGGGAGTTCCCATGCACTTCACGGGTAGGTAGTTGGACAGAAGGCAGGAGTAGTCTTCAGGATTCGTCCGCAGCACTCAGGAGGAGCGCTGCAGGAGTAGCTTAGCGCTAGCAGTAGTCTTCAGCGCTGGGCGCTAGTAGCCATAGCAGTAGTCTTCAGCGCTGGGCGCTAGTAGGTGGTAGTAGTAGCGTTGGGAGAGATGGCTGGCGGAGGCCAGTGAGACTTACCTGTGGCGCCATAGCTCCAGCTCCATCTTCAAGGTACCTGCATCAAGGCGCCAACTTCACAGGTTAATACCGGACTGAGAGAGAGAGAGAGAGAGCTCTTCTTCTTCCTCTTCTAAGTCCACCATCTCTTCTTCCCCTCTCACCACCTGACTTCTCAATATCAGCGGACTACTACAGAGAGAGAGAGTTGTGACTTGAGACTTGACGACATTGGATCCAGACTCGACATTGGGATTCAGACATTTTGACGAGGGACTATTTGGGCCTGTGCCGAAGACTTGGTGTTGACGACATTCCCATCTTCCCCTCTTCTTCGTCTAACCCCCCTCTTCTTCGTCTGTGTATGGTTGGGGCTGGCGCATTCTTCCTGTGTGAGCGCCAGACCCCTTCACACCATGGCGTGATGATGATGATGTATGTTCGGGGCTGCATTGCAATATTGATTGTTCGGATCATTGGTATCTAAGTTTTCCGCTGCGCTATCTTGTACTTTGTTAGAGAGGTCGGTTCTTGTTCTGGTCTGCACCTTTACAGTATGCAACAGGCAGCAACTGGAGTTGAATCTGAATCTGAGAATAAATGCACCAAAATGACCCAGGGACGAAGATGGGCCATGCAGCCACCAGTCGCCACAATCAGATGGCTGTATTTCAAAAAAAAAAAGAAGGCTTGGAAGGCGGGTTATGTGGTGGAGGATTTGAAGAAGAGAGCAGCCAATGAGTTGTTCACCATGGCACAGGGCACGGCAAGGAATCCCGAGTGGCAGAAAATTGGTCGCAGTCATCCAACCTCCATGTACCGTCTTCTTTCTTTCCTCCCCTTTTTTTTTGGTGCAAAAAAGGGTCGACAGCCTGCAGCGCGGAGGTTACCTCGGGGGATGATGATTCACGATAACTGATTGACTGATGCCTTGACTCTAGGCGCCTCACGCGCAGGAAACCATCAATTTTGATATTTTGGACACGACGCATGTGCACTGTTATCGTCCACGATGCATTTATCTCAGCAGTGTTTTGTTTTTCATATACATTATATCCAGATCACTCTTTAAGTGATTGCTTGAATCAATCAACTTGAATTCATTGACTTTGTGACTTCAGTCGATGAATAGCCGTGTTGACGCCAGCTTTGGATGGTTTCATTTAGGCTTGCTAGAGTTCAAAAATTTGATGCAAGAGTCTATGCCATGTCGTGTACTGCAATATCTCGCCACGTGATTTCGGGTATGAACTCCCATATGATTTGCACAGGAGAGCACACCATCAAGAAGATTGGCGCATGGTGTCTGCATGCGCTTTTAGCATTGGATTCAAGTTTGGACGCCTCTTTCCATCCTTGAGTGTTGTAGACTTTGGAGTCGTTTGCGGATGTATTCCAGTCTCGTTCGGGAGTTGTTGAGGACCGCCCTATCGTACCGTGCATGAGATACTTCTTCATGATGAGCCCATTCCAACAATGGGGTGTATCTATAGCATGAGAGAAAAGGAGCTCAAAGTTCTTCCCACTGGCAACAACAGCTCGACGATTTGGTCGCATAGGGGTCGATTACTCCTAGCAGCTCTTCTTACAAAACACCTGTTCCCTTTGTACGGAAGAGGAACAAGGACCTGCAGCTTGGGATCAACTATCATAAGCTTAATGCACAAATGCTTAAGAATCCAGGGCCCTGTCCACCCATCAATGACTTACTTGAACGGTTCGGAGGTGCCTATTACTTTTCGAAATTAGACCTGAAATCGGGATACCATCAAATTTAGATTGGCCAATAGGACTGCTACAAGTCCTCGTTCAAAAAGCGGTTATGGGCGTCTTGAGTGGTGGCCATACCTTTGGGCCTCGCCAATGCCCCAAGGACATTCAGGCTGCAATTACTAAAGAGTTTTGCACGAGGTTGGATTGTCTCGTTCTCATCTATCTTCCCGACATTCTGATTTACATTCAAATATTGGATGAGAACCTAGACATCGTGTTCGACCAACTTCACTAGGCCAAGTACAAAGCAACCTGCGCTAAGTGCGAATTTGCTAAACATGAGCTTGAGTACTTGTGCCACTTTGTCGCACCTCAGACACTTTGTCCCCTTGAGGACAAGATTCAGGCCGTTCAGGATTGGCTCGCGATGCTTTGGGGCGGGCATCCCAAGGGACAACCAAGGGTTGCTGCTGGGACGACGCTGGTCGGAGCTGGGGCGAGTCGTGTTGCCCTGTAACCCAGCAGGGTGGGGGCGTGAGGCCTGGAAGAGCTCGGCAGGGAGTAAGACTGTGTTGGAAACTTTTCGAAGGGTGTGTTAGGGATCCTGAGGGTTGTGAGCATTCGCAGGACCTCTGTGGCAGCTTATTCCATGAGTA